TTCCGCTTCTGTCCCTCCATACATTTCTGTTCCTCTTCCGCCCCCTTGTGCTTCCATTCCTCTTCCTCCGCCTCGAGTCTTGCCATTTCGGCCGCTATTTCTGCTTGTCTCTCTTGAAGGAGCTGCCGGGCGGATTTCTTGTTGCCGGAAGTGGAGTTAGACATGTTAAGCAGTAATAGGAGTTAGGGGGAAAGTTTTAGACGTCTCATGGGCGCCCCGGCCTACTTATATGTCCAGTTCTATTTTTACAAGCTCTGCCCATCATCTAGCATTCATCAAACTCCGGACCTGACTTCCAAATCAGAAGCCTCGTGGGCTCAGCCCTAAGAGGGGATACTGTCATATCCCACGTTCCGGACCCAGACCTATCACACACATCATTTCCGGATTTCTGGATCTGGCTGACTTCTATCTATCATCCGGATCCGACCTGTGTCTATCTTCCATGCCTTATCCCTTTGTATGTTCCTTCTCCAGTTAGACTATACTCCTTTTCTGTACCTCAGTTCATTTCTGCCTTTATTTTCCTATGTTCTCATTTCCGATAGACTAGTGTTTGACTTTTCTATACGCTCCATCCACAGCCTCGCATAGCTTCAGACTGCACTGACTGATTCTCCGTTAAGTTCTCAGTAGTATATAAACCCTGTAGAATCTTTGTACTTCCTCAGTTTGAATATTATCTTAGACTCTGCTCATTACCTCCTCCGTCCAACTTGAGTTTCTCCTCTCGTCATCCTCCGTTAGTCATAGGATTGACTCCTATAGACTTCTCACCTCTGCCTCTACCTCTGGTAGTCCTCCGCTGTTTCTTTCTAGTTCGGACATCATCCGGATTAGTCTTATCCCTCGTTCCCAAATGTCCGCCGGAATTCCCACGCATCGGACATCGGACTCTGGACTCGTCCGACAACCTTCGGACATTGTTCGACAGCCTTCGGAAGTTAGGGGCATGTACTTGGGTAAGGGGCGCAGCGCACGAGCTGAAGCCAAGCCCTTTGGATTAGACCCTTGAGCACGTTCTTAACACTAGCCCAAGTCGATGTGCCTTGAATCTCAAGGCTTCTGAAGAGGAGAAGTCTACTAGTCTCTTCAAGTATTTCCCAACTGTAACATGAGAGGATTATCTCAAGACCACTTGGGTTCCTTTCTCTTGGGAACTGGAGAACAATAAGCGAGATGCTGATAGGCTTCATGTTGAAGCATTTGAACGGGATTTCTGCCGGCGTGAAGGCAACAGGAAATGCAAACAGAGGCAGCACACACATGAAAAGGCCAAGAAGAGAATCTCAGAGATATGACTTGTCATCATCTATGAATCCAATGCACTCATGGCTTGACAACTAGGGTCATACCATAAATGATGTGCTCCATGATGTTGTTGTGCCTGTTATCATAAAGACAGATGTTGTGGAGGCATCTCGACCTTACCAGAAGATTCGAAGAGATGCAAGGGCATGTCAGTCTGCAGTTCAAGTTGGATGCAAGTGGAAGCATGAGGACACCCTTGCTGTTCATATCAATTGGCAGCATCCCTTACTATGGACCACCATTGTTGAGGCTGCTATTCATGTGGGGCATGCTATGTCCCCTTCAGAGATTGTGCAGGAGGTTCAGTGGATGGACTCATCACGATTTCACACTTTGACTTCCTAGGTTGTCAGTGCTTGGATTGACCGTTCAGATGACAAACCTGTATGGAATGCAGCAACACTTGCACGTGCCAAGAGACGAAGCCTCCCAATGTATCAAAACACCTGCAAAAATATTCTGTCTGATCATCCAGACATTGTCAAGCTCATTCTCAATGACCTTTGCTCTTTTCGCAGTGTTGGAGTTGCTTTAGACACACTTCGCTGCTGGGGCATTATCCTTGCATGGCTGCAGCATTCAATTCCCGAAATCTTCAAACATGTTGCAAAAGATGGCTTGCATTTCCACTGCACAGAGAATTGGGTCAAACAGTTCCTTGCAGACCATCTTAATTGGAGCTTCTGCAGAGCAACTCATGCTGCACAGAAACTTCCACCCAATGTTGAACAAGTGCTCCTTGACCAATTCCTCCATCTTGCTTTAACAATTCGTGATTGTGCAATTTTTGATGCCATATTTCTGGTTAATATTGACCAGACCAATATCATCTACCAGCCATCCAATACATCTATGTTTGAAGTTACTGGTTCTAAGCAAGTTGCAGTTCTTGGACAAGAAGAAAAAAGGGCATTCACCATCGTCAATGGCATCTGCACAAAGGGTCATGTCCTTCCACTGCAACTCATCTACGAAGGGAAATCATCATGTTCACTTCCATCAAAGTCTACGTCTACTCCACAGTACAAGAAAGCAATGCAGCTAAAATTCAAGATCTCGTACTCAAACACACACACATATTGGTCCACCTTTGACCTGATGTATGAGTATGTTACTGACATCTTGGTTCCCTACTGGAAGGAGCAAAAGAGGCTTCTTAGTGCTCTGGCCAACCAGGAGTGCAATTTACAGCTTAATGTATAGAGTGTGCACCGCTCAGTCTAATTCTGTACATGGCTGGATAAGACTTACGCATGGATCAAGTACTGGTTTGTTCCTGGTGGCTGTACTGGTGTTGGACAATCTTGTGATGTTGGCATACAATGTCCATTCAAGCTTGCCATCAAATGAGCACAGCACGCTGATATTGTCAATGAGTCTCTTGCTCTACTTGCAAATGACAATTCCAATTCACCTTCACTCATCCGACTCGATACCAAAATGGGTACACTTCGAGACTGCTCATTACAGTGGGTCATTGATGGATATCATGCAGTAAACAAGCCAGAGCTCATGACACAGGTTCGAGTGCAGATTTTTTTGTGATTGACTATGTCACTGACATTCTTTAAGGCATTCTTCATGTGCAAGGCTGGGAGGGATTTTAATCTTTCGTTTCCAAGTCTCACAAGCCTCAAAGTATTACAACTATTGAGCAAAGTTCAGAGGAGTGACCCTGCTGGGTAGGACAGAATTGCAACAGTGCAGTATAAGTTGAGAGCTATTGATGCTAAGGTGGTAACAGAGGATGACATCAGCAAACCACAAGTTTCATCACAGGTATCATAGGCTGTACAAGGTGCCACAAGGTGTCACAAGACACCACAGGTCTCACAAACTTCACAGACCTATATATGTAATAAATATCACACTATCAATGCTACTGATGTCTACAGATAATAACTAACATAAATATGTGAATGTTACCAAGTATTGTCTCTCTTGCTCACTATAATCTGACTAAGCCTGTATAGCTTGTACAGCTTGTACAATTTGTACAAGCTATACATGCTGTGCAGAGACTCACTGAAATTACTAATTTTCTGACCTTATTCTAGTCTCTATTATCCTTAGCCTATTATATGTTGTTCAACCTGTAATAATTGACAATATAGTTGAGGTAATCTTTATTGTACAAAATATAATGACTCTGAGTAAAATAGGACATACATCAGTTATTACTATTCAATTACAATTATATTAAGATACTATAGTGGAACTTATGTAGTAGTAAATAGAGTGGTAGTGTTGTGGGGTAATTGAATGGACTTGACTTAGTGAAATTTTCGCATTTTGTCATGTGACATTGCTTTGGTATATATTGCTATTATTGCTGTATTATATATATGGCCTGGTGGCTGAGTGGTAATAATGATGTGCTTATAATTGCTTCAGGTGTAGGTTCAATTCCTGCCAATTGCAAAATATAATGTGTGAAATGATCATGTGATGTAACATGTAATAAGTTGGAGTCACATTTCTTTTGGCATTTGTCCTTCAAAACCCACAAGCTGTACAAGGTGTACAAGGTATCTTGTACAGCCTGTATGCCTTGTCACAGGCCTGTGCAAGGCCCACTTAGCTGTAGGTTCTGTGAGTCTGTACAAACTTGTACAGGTACCCACTGGTTTGCTGATGGATGGTGATGAATCTCCCTTTGATGAAACTGACAGCGGTCTTGATGCCAGTGATGTGCCTCTGGACACATTAACTGACTATTTGGCTTTGGAGGGGTTACAGACCTCTCCCAATGGTTGCATGTTGAATGTCACCAATGGCAGTCTCAGTGTCTCTGCAACACAATCCAAAGTCTATGATATTGGAGAGGGTCATATTGATGGCGAACTTGGTAGCATTCCAAAGGTAGATTGTGCACACAGAAAGTGTAGACAGATTGCAAATATGATGTACACCGACTTTTGGTCTCATTGAGGCGCTGTATATGTTTTTTTATCAAATTTACTGCATGTCATGATTTAGCTTCAGTTACGAAAAATCAGTATGACGGTCACATTGAATAGCTTCAATTCATGGCGGCTTGTGATGCGTGACAAAGTTAGTGTTGTATCTCTACAGTATGTGTGGTCTAAAGTTGGCTGGCGGTCTTTCCCATGCAAAAATTATTTTGACCCCTGGACTGTGCTCAATACATTTCATTTTGGACCCTATACACTTGGGGAAAGACCACACAAACATGGCCAGACCACCTGAAAAGTACCCCTTAAGTGAAAACCTCTATATGTATGATACAACCTATTGTAACAGTGGTTAACCACCAATCCCCGACTCCACCCAGCTGTATCAGTACCCCCAGCACATGTCTCACCTCATCTCAACTACTCAGCTCAGAACTGCGGTCATATTGAAAGCAAACCATATACATTCAAACAACTAATTTATTAACATAAGGCACAACTGTCATCATGAAACAGCTGTGGAGTGCGAAGAACCAAACAAAGAGAACAAACTACTAAGTCCACAGATTTCTGACCATGAAAATCCATCAGCCTACATCACACATCAAAGGTAGAAGTGCGACAATGTAACACATAATCATCAAGATAAGTTCGAGCATCGAAGAAACAATTTTACAGGAAGTTAAGAGTCTGAAAAAAGTGGAAACAGGTGAAGTCAAATATTCCATGATGTTTGAAAAAGACTCACTTGAAGGTCGTCAATCTCTCAGTTGTTCAATCCTCAATGTCCATCATATGCTTCGGATCTTCCATACTTCCATACAAGTCATCCTCCTCCTCCTCCTCCTCATGAACCTCCTCACCTGCACTGTCAGCTGCATCATCCACGTGGACTGGTTTCTTGCTTGGCCCACTATCTCCTGCTTCGTCAATAGCTTTGCACTTTCCTTTACAAAGATCGGCAAAAGTGGTGGTGGTGATGGATGCATCAGGCAGTACCTGCATTGATTTCAACATGACCTGATAGATACATGAGCCATTCTTATTATCCATATGAGATCCTTTGTCTCCTTTGTTGAGAGGTCAGATATTCCATCTATGAAACTATTTAAGCAAACAAACGCGCCAGAACTTTCGACAGTCTTACAATTTGAGATATACCTCCACAGAGATGATATCGCCGGTGTGAAGTTTCTCCCCTTAATGTTCGGGCAAAATGATATTGCCTTGTCCATCACAGACATCTGGGGCCACAATCTTAGTATCACACAGATTGAACTGTGCAATAAATCCAGTGTAAAGGCCCAGGGGATCAGGCAAATCAGACAGGTGTTGATGACCTGCGCTGTTGTGAGCAAGCCAACAGTGGTAAATGATATGCATAACATCGCACCATTCATTTGAGTAGAACCCTCCCCATCATTGCCTGACCCCCCACCTGCCATTGCAGCAGCTCTAGCATTGGCTGTTCAGTGAGCAGAAGTGTTAGTGTGATCTCAGAACATAAAATATCACAACTCACAGGGACTATGCATCATGTCACTTTCTATGGGAAAGGAAGTGTTAATGTTTGGCAACTCGGAGGCAAGGTAGAACTGCAAAACCTACTTCCGATGTCCATCCTCTTCAAGCGAGGCACCGAGGCATGCGACGGATCAGGGATGTCTTCCAGCAAAGGGATTGACATCACGATGATAGTGAAACACTGATTCTCGCCATGGGGATATTGACACCAGAAAGGCACATCCTTGGGGTAAGCATTCTTATCGAGAACTAGTAAGAAATATAAGCAATCGGAAGTATGTATGTATGAAGCAGGGCAGTGCTTACATGCATTCCTAGCCTCCTCCACCTCACCAAATAGGACATTCAACATGTCAAGGGTGTTACCACTGCATTTGATGGCTTCCATTGGATACTTGTCAGTGGCCATGGCATCTAGAGGCCGAAGTTCAAACTGGGCCCACATCTTTTTCAATGCAGCAAGGTCAAGCTGCGACATAAGTTGTCAGAAATTCTGTGGCACGTGCCCAAGCAAAGTCACTTACACCAGTTCGAGGAAGATTGAAGTATGGACCTGTCCAATTATATTGACTATTGAGGTCCAGTGTTGCGGGAAATTTAAATGTGAAGACCTTACCCCCTGCATCGACCCAGTAGTCTGCATTATCGGACATAACATGCAGTGGACGAGGATTATTGCTGACAGGCACACTTGCCAAGATATTTGGTGTGGCTGCCCATGGGGCAGTCGACAACACATACAAAGACATTCACAAAGGAGTCTTTGGATGTTGAGGGTCCAATTGAATCTGGCTATCATGCTCAGTGTCATTGCTCATGATGGAACCTGGAGAAGAGGTAATACAAAGAATAAACAAACTGATGGTCAAGTGTTTGCTTTTATAGATGACACATCGCAGTGATCACCTTCAAAAACAGTCAAACAATGAATGACTGACATCAGTCACTGGAACCAGGCCCCAAGACATATGAAGGCATCCATCTATAGAGATTTGAAACTTGTTGTCAAAGCAGTGGGAATCAAGTGAACAAGGAAAAGACACAAACATTTCAAAGGGCAGCGTCACGAGACTGAAGACACAATTTGGCCGCATTAACATGTAGAACGGACGGCCAACATCACGAGAGAGAAGACAAAAATACTTGAACTGCGACCATCCAAACTCTGGATGCATGGCAGATCATTGAGACTGCCTGGAATGAGCACAGGAAAGCCATTGTTCAGTCTGCCGTCTTAATGCCAGAGATTGTCTTCGGCCACTATGTTCGCAGAGAAGTGGTAGTCTTGCAAATAAATAATGGCCTTCAACTGATAATGCAGACTGCCGCACTCACTCTTGAGAACTAAGGCACTGTTGATCTTGACATCGTTTCCTGCAGGCAAAGAGCTTCCAGAGTGATCTTGTTTGAAAAACAAGACAGGTGGAGCATATTCCAGTATCAATCTGTATCATGTTTGATCACTGCCATCACAAAGTCGAGCATCCTTGTGTCTTTGTCGCATCAGCATATATTTCATCCAATTATGGAGCCACTCTGTGAGACACACCTGTGCACCTGTAGAATTTGATGACAATGGCAGCTGACCAAACTGAGTTGAGAGATGAAGTCTTCGTGACATGCCAGGCAAAAGATCTGATGAAATGCTCCGGATACTTGCTGGAAACAGACACTCCAAGATTGCTGAAGCTGAGGCACCAACTTGACCATGCTGTGGAAAACATCTTGCATCACGACGTGTCAAGAGGTCTCAAAGAAGCTCTTGTCCAAGGTCAAATCTTTCCAGTGAAAAAACACTTTGTTCGCTGAGTAAAATGTCACTGTAAATGTCAATGAGGGCATCAGTGATGTCATCTAAGTGGAGCCAATTCGCTCTCAGATGATCTGGAGTTTCATGATAAAGATGGAACAAAACCAAGAAAACTGAATCATATGCACATGACCAGTTGGTCGCCAACCAACGACATCCGGCACTCAGATGTTTAGCTACCTGAGTATGTGATTGTGGTCCAATTGAAGGAAGTGCGAGATTGATTGGCTGTTTGTTGACAATGTCTTGTAAACTGTGCTGCACATTAACTTGAGACTGTCCAGTAGCATTTGAGGCCAAAATTTCTGGTGAGTCATGTTTGGCCTGCTTTGCTTTCATTCGTTGGTGTGAAACCTTGCACTGTGCTTTTCGCTTTGATGCCATTGCGGTTCCAGACTTCAATCGCTTCCTTGACCTTGTTTCCTCCTGAGAGATATCATTCTCAAGTCCCCACTTAGACCCATGTGCTTTGTTCTCTTTCTTGTCATCTTCAAACCTTGGTCTGAGTGCGCAACCCATGCACATATCAGCCTCTGCATCAGGCACGGAACCGTCTGACTTGTCAAATAACCAAATCTCACAAGGGTATTGTGCTCAAGTGCTTCAAACCGTTTGACTTCATTCATCAGTGACACCAGCAAGGGTTTGTTCAGCTCATCGAGAGTGACAGGACGAACAATACACAGACCTTCATGAGAGCATGCACGAGATGCTGCTACATATGCACCAAAACCACCTTCGTGCAAATTGACTAATACAGTGAGTGGGCAATGTCTTGCCTTGAGCTGAGTGTCCAGTCACTGCAAAGGCAGGTTGAATGGGCAGCTGGTAGCGCGTGATATGCAATTTATCTCCCAGACCATCATCACTTCTCAGTATCGTGGTGAAGGAACAACTGCTGGGCTGAATTGGAAACAATCTGTTACAAGTAACATTGGTCACGTGGCCCCCCTATCATTTTCCCTTCGTCCTCGCCCTCACCATCTACCGGCTCGTCCTCCTTTACCGACTTTCCATTGACCGGATCCTCGGGACCGTTCCCATCCCTCGCATCGTCCGCCTCTATGCACGTGCACACACGTTCCTCCCCTGATTCGACCACCAATGTGGTCCCGCACCTATGACTCGGTCTGACTCATGCCACCAATGTGGCTTTCCCTTTCTGTTCCTTCTGACTGCGGATTCCCACACGTTGTATTCTTACCGTTGGTCCGTTCCAACATTTCTCAGTCTCATTCCACATTCGACCATCCATCACTAATCCGGCTCTGTTGCCAACACACCTATACCATTCTCGTTTCCCCTTTACCCTTACCTACTGTGCGGTAGCCTTGCCCTTAACCCTCTCCACTTAGTATAAGTAGTCGGTCACCCTGTACTAGATTCTCTAACTTGAATCTACTCAATCTTCCCTGGAACATACTTCCCTCTGAACGCCCCTTTGGCTTCAGTCTCTAGTATCTTTTCTTAGTGGCTCATCGCGACTAAGTCTACCTTGATCGACCTCATCGTTCAGACAAGACTGTCCTTACCTTGAGCGACTTCAAAGACATCCGTCTTAGAAGTCACATGACACGCGCGCACTGTGATCACTGCCGACTCGTCGTCGCCAGTCTCACTTGCTATACCGGATCCTTCTGGTTACGTCACGAACGTTAGCAGACGACGCCCCTCTTAGGGCTCCGCATAACAGATCTATTTGAGTGCGTAACACAATCCCTTCGACAAACTGGACAGGTGCACCTTGCTATGTGCAAACTCAACAAAAACACATGTGGCATAGGTAAATCCAGACGCGCAGACCTCAGTCTCTATCTTTCGCACAATGCCTTGACTACCGTTCGTGATGCCAAGGTCAGTCGAGATGTTCTGCAGACGCAAAATCACAGGCATCCCAATGCACAAGGGAATAAATGCTGGCAAGACACGCGCAGATGGAAGTGCAGATAAGTTTATATCGAGCAATTGTTGACGCTCATCCCTCGAGAGGTCATTTCCAGAGCATTTGTCCATTGCTGCACAGACCACGAGATCTTGTTCCCCACAAAAAGCCTCAGCCTTTTTGAAGTTCAAAGCCTCATGGACATCATTGGTGGCCACAATAGCAGCAGTGTCAATGTATTTTTGTTCACTCATGTCTACACCATCAGGCCTATCTAATGACTTCACAACCCAGCTGTTGAATAACTCGACATCTGAGTAGTTACACTCTCGCACTCGAAGCCTCACTACTGCCTCAGCATATTCTGGGTCACCTTTCATGCACTGCTGCTCATCAAGGTTGATGACTGTGTTGATTTTTTTCATGCTATGCAACCAAGTCTTTTCAAAATTCCCTTGTTTGTCTGGCCAGCATAAGATGAAATCGGAGAATAGAGTGGGCTGGCTCCGACCAGAGGATACTGGTAGAAATCTCCTGAATATATGAGTGTAATCCCTCCAAAGGGCATGTCGAACTTTTCCTTCACAAATCAAAGAACATGATCTATCTCCGCCAACAGCTGCAAACCAAGGAGAGATGTCCCGTCAACAAGAAGGTACTCCACATTCTTCCATTCATCATGCAAACGTGATCTGTTTTTCACACTGATACACACCGTATAATCCTAGGCACTCTCACCTGGGTCTCAGTTTCCTTTACCTCTGTTGTTGGCCTTGATTTATATACCCAAACCCTTGTGCACCGTCATCCCATCAATCAATGCAGCAGCAGAACCAGTAGGTGCCAGAAATCATATTATATGCCCGCACCGATAGTAATCCATCACAGACTGCACAGCTTTGACAACATGGGTCTTACCTGTCCCTCCAGGCCCTGTCATTAACATGATGCATTGCTCATTTGTTGCACCTGCTTGTTTGTTGACATGTTTGGTAATCTTCAGCTGTTTTTCTGAGCACTTCCTCAGGCTGCAAGAAGGTGTCCGGCATCATGGCAACCACATTGGTTTCTGTACTGGGGCAAGAAGAATCCAAAGGTGTGCACCCATCCTGACCACTCGCATCAATGAATGCAGTCTGATCTGTTGGCAGCTCTGCCACATGAGTCTGCGCATCTGGATTGAGCGCATTTATCCGTGCTGTGGCAATCACTGATTCCTGAAAATTAATTTCTTGCTTCCACATTTTCGACTGACATGCTGTACATTTGGGGATCAGCTCATGTTACTCGCATTCACCAGCCTCCATAGTGCTGCTTGGAGTTATCAAAGACTTTGACAACCACTTGCACTGCTGCATCTGAAGGATCATCTGTAACACATGCAGCCATGGACTAGCACCTTTTCCTGGAACATTGTCAACATCAATATCCATGTCATCATCAGTGAATTTGTTTCCTGCAGAACTCTTTGTCAGTGCCCTACTGCGTGCAGTCAATCAAGATTGTTTTTGCAGTCTATCAGCATCTCTTTCACCCTGACATTCATATATTGCCTCCCAGTTATCCATTACCTGCTGTGCATGATGTTAAAACATGTAATTCTGATAGGCGAGCGAGACATCTTTTGATTCATCTATTAATGGGACATCATCACTAAAAGGTTCGAAGTAAGCCAGGCAAAACAGCAACCATGATTTCATGTTTGTTGATTGAGGTATTGACACACCTACCACACGAGGGATGAGTTCATTTTTGCCATCTCCTCTATCCTCATTGGTGTGCTCGAGGAGTTCATGTGTATCAGACAGTGGATGTGATTCTTTCAATGGATGATGATGAAGCACACCTAAACACATCTCATAAGTGTTTTGGATCTTCTTACTCTTTGCCTTTGGCTGCAGCTTCACACATCGGCAGAATTCAAAGAAGTACATATCTGACAGACTGTCAGCACGGAAAACATAATGGTGCACCTGGTTCATCTCAACGAGCTTGCCATTTCTGTCTGTTGAGATATGCAGGTAGGTGTGTTCAACATCATCATCATCATCATCATCATCCACATTCACGGACCCATTAATCTTCTCTTTTACATATGCCAGAAGGGCTGATGACAACATAGGCACTGTCTTGTGTGATGGCATGCTGTCATCCATTCTGCGTATGTACCAAGCTGCTTGTTGTGCATGGATCTGTTGCTGATGGGTGAACTGAGAAAAGCATTTGTGCAACAGGTTCTTGGCTGATTGCGAGGGTGTATCACTCGAGGAGTCTGGCAGGCGGGCGACAGCTCAAGACAGAAGAGAGAGCATCTCATAAGTCTTCAGATCCATTTTAGTGATATAATCCGATATATAGAACATAGCTGCCTTTGCACCTTTGTCCAAGAGGATGCACTTGATGTCATGGTTATGATGACAAAATATGAGAATATATGGACTGTAGTAATTAACCCAAGCATCTCGACAAGCAAGGACAACTGAGTTTGTTTCTGCATCAAAGTAAGACATGTCTACAAGCTCATGTGGAAAGAGGAACCTACAACGATCCTCATTGCCATACTTGTGACATACAGCTCGACACTGATGGCATTGCAAGACCTCACCACATTTTTTTATTTCAGATGCGAACACACTATCCCAATCCTTCTGAACAATCCGCACTTCAACTTCATGAGCATCAACAGGTAACACCGGTGGAACTGGAGGCCGTTGCACACGGGGCTCGAAATTTGGTTCAAGAGGCTCTTCAACATCAGGTAGATGATGGAGAATGCTATCTTCGAAAAAGGCAAAAAACCAAGCTTGAAAATTGTCATCATCACGCAGCCGAGTATGCAGCTCAGAAGGATTGACACCACCTTGCAACCATATCAAAAAATGACCATGCAGACCCCCACATTCAGTGAATTCAGAAGTGCCATAAAATGCTTGCAAATGGCCAAAGATTCCCCCTCGCAATGTGGACCGACCAGCTTCAAAATCCCAGCCCAAGAGGTGTTGAAAGAGGCATTGCATAGAGAATGTGAAGAAATCCGAGGCTGCCACTGGATCTTGTGCCAGACGGATCGCACATTCCTGAGCAGATACCAAGTGGGGGAACCTATGAGAGAGATCGACAGTCTTATCTCCATACATTGCCTGAAAAATGGGACTGAGCACAACTCGGATTGAATGTGAAGAAAATATGAGGGAGCCCAAAGTAACTGTAGTAGCTGTGAATTTCACTCTGAATGTAAATTTTGGCAGCTTGGGAGCCAGGGATGCGAGCGGCGATGGTGTTTACTTTCTTGAGAAGGCTGAGGGTGTTCTTCTCATCTGCTCCCAAATCTGAAATCTTTGTCTCTTGTTCAAGTCTGATGGCAAGATGTTCTAGAATGGAAGAGGACACTTGAGTCAGTTCACAAGCAATGGAATGGAAGTGAGCCTTGCGAACAGTGAAAGAAGTGTAGAGGTGGGCCATCCGTCTCTGAATCATGTTTAAGATGACAAACAAAAAAGAGTGATGATAACGAAAAGATTTATCAGTCAAGTTGAAATAATAGTGAGCCTGTTGTTTGAAAGCCAAGCTGTCTGACGTTTCGTTGATTCAAACCCACCAATACCAAAAGGAAAAAGAGTCAGATAGATACCTGGCAGCAAGTCAGGATTCTTATACTCGCCGATAGCCTCTGAACCATGGTGAACAATCAAATCCAAATCAGATTCTGAACTGCTGGATGAATCTGATATGAGATTACGAAGAGCCGCAGCAGTGAAAGCATGACCAGAAAGTTGCACACATTCTGGATCTGACACCCCCATTTTCTCTAACAACAAAGAAGGCTGTTCGCCAGCATCTGTACCAGAAACAGTTGAAGATGACAGCAATTCAGCAGGATGTTCTGAGAAGCCTGCTGTCTCTTCCAAAAACACACGACGACCATCTTGTTCGTGATCCTGAACCACATGTTCCATCAAACCTGGAATCACATCATCAGCAGGATAGAGTTCGACAATTCTGGCATCTATTTCAACATCACAATACAAACGATTGTGTGCCTTCAGCCACAAAAGAAAGGACCATATTTTGGATTTTCACACTCGAAATGTTGTTTTGAGAGCAGATGGTTTGAGCTTACCAGGACCTATGAAAATGACGCTGAGAAAATCATTTATATCCGCGGGAGTGCGAGGCAGCACATTGGCTGTTGAGATGACATTCATCTCATGTGCACAGGTATTTCCATGGAAGACTTTTGGCTGTGCAGGATTGGAAGATTGAAAAAGACGAGTGACATGTGCAGAAATACAAAATCTTGCACACACTTTCTCCTCTGACCAGGTCAGATCAGAAAATTGAGTTGGCAGCAAACCACAGTAAAGATCATTAGCCAGAGCCAAACGTGGCATAGATTTATTAGTCAGACTCGAATGACATTCTGCACAGATGTTCATCACAGCATGTATGGTACCAATGTCGATAATACCAGACTTGTCCAGCATCAATCCATCGAGAAAATCCACACTGAACATGAATTCTGCACTAAGAGTTCGGATAATACAGGCAGTAATGAACTCATCCTTGATGCGAAGTACTTCCAATGTCAGCAAATCACCACCCACAGGACCAATATTCACTAGAGTACAATCCGATAATCTTTGCAAGCACACAGCACAGACTGGAGGCTCAATCCACACCAAGCCATGTACATAGTCTCGCGCACAATCTAAGGCCACTTGTTTGGTCACAATACATGGCCAATCCTGTGCATGGTCACTGACGATCTGCTGCCCCCAAAGTATACTTTCCATCTTGGCAGTCTGTCTCATTTCCTTGTGAAGTTCTGATTTCGAAAGCAACTCTTGGCTGAGTGAGTTCATGATGGGATCACCATACTCATATATCAGCACTTTCATGATGAAATTGTCGTCTGAAAAATGGTCTGAGGGCGCAATTTGATGATATGCGAGATATACATCAGCCACATGAACTGGACCACTGGCAACAAGAAATGCTGCGTGCCTGTGGAGGAAATCAACCACACTATTACAAGACTTTTGCAGAGATCTCTTGTTCAGCGAAGGGCGACAATCAGGAGGAAGGTGGGTGATAGATTCCATAAGATCATTGATGGACAGGCGACGTATCCATTTGACTAGTGTCTCGATCGGGAGTGACAACCAAGCTAAAGGAGGGGGCAGCGATGAATGATGCAAGGACAGCCTTAGTTGTAGTATTTGGCCAAACTAACATGGTTGGTGCAAGCAAGTATATATGCTATGCTAATGATATATGAACAGGTTGTATTATTTATGCAAGAGTACAATACTGAAAAACATTAAAAATGTCAAAAGTGAGATTTTCTATGTTTTTGTTCTTGTAGCAGGATCCTATGTGTGTCCTGGGCCAGATATATGATTAATCTACTCCAAATATACATAGAAATAGACCCCCCACCTCAATTAAGGTCCGGCCCTACAGGAAAATTTTTCACAGGGGGTGAACCACCAGGAGAGGAGGGGCACACCATGCAACAGGGAATTGTCCAATGATCCTGGGCTACTGATACATTGTTCCTATTGTTGAATAGATGCTGGGAATCATTTTTCCAAGTCTATCCACCTAGAAATAATTAAATGGGAACATATTTTGTGTTTTCTTGCATATGTGCTATATCTATTGATACAGGACACTTCAGAGGGTCAAATAAAGATGGGAATCTACTCATATATGCTCATAAACATGTTCTGAATATTATAGAACACTTCCCCACCAAAGGGGCAAAAATGCGAAAGTGTTCTGTACCCTACCCTATGTTGAATTGCCCCTGGAGGAGAAGCAGTCACACAAACAAACAAAAAAAGCAGTCTATTATATTATATTATACATATATATACTAAACTACTACTTATATATAAAGGGGGAGCTATTGTGGTGTGGTGGTGAAGCTGCAATAATGTAGGGAGGGTGTGGGAATAATTAAAATTGTGGGGTGTACCATATTGGGTGACGTTTTGGGTGTTGTGGGGTAATTCCCATAGTAGGTGGCTAAAAATGCGAAAAATGCGGAGTGTGGGAATAATGTGGGGAGGCCCTGATATGAGGAACAATATATTTTTAAGTGTTCTGGGGAAATTCCCATGGGTGGCCAAAAATGCGAAATACATTGGGTGTTGTGAGGTTCCCACGGTAGGTGGTTGAAAATGCGAAAATGTGCAGCTGTGAGAATATTGTGCCAGATTGGGTCCCTGGCATAATCATGAAATGTGTCAATCAATCTGTGGCACCAACCATATTATTAGGTCAAACCTTACAACCAGGGGTGGCAAGGAGGAGTGCACTTCTGAGGATATGCCTGCGGGGGCGTCCTGACGAGTTTACCAATGTCATTGCCATAGATACAGTCAACATATGAACAAAACGAGTGGACACAAGTTGTCCCCTTGAAAGAATCGACACCCCCATCATGATTCATCAGCAGTGACCATCAATCTCGAGCGCGTGTGATCAATGTGATCCAGAATGCAATCTACATACCCGGATTTATTTTGGCGTATCTTCGAGGAATGATCTGCCAGGTGAGTAGCCAGTGATGAAAGGATACTTGAAACCAGTCCCTGCAGACGAACTTTGAGAATGTCAAGGGGTGTAAACAACCATAAAGGATTCTCATGCTGGTGTGTCAGTATGAGATCGCCAACAGAACGCATACACTGAGAATAAAACCTTTGCAATAATCCGCAGTGGTAATAACTGGCACGCTGGAAGGACGAAATTGAACAGTGTATTGCAACAGTACCTTGACAAATTATAATTGACATTCCATCATAAGCGACCACACCACCAAAGGGAGTCGAAGTGCAAGGACAGGCACGATAATGAGTTGACAACGATAATTTGAGCCATGCACAGAAATTTGTGGGACACGAGAATGAGGATGTGTGATATTCAGGATAATAGAGAGCATCATAATAATATGGATATTCAGAGACATCATGACATGTATCAAGAGGCAGACATAGTCGGCTATTGAGCACACGAGAAACTGTGCAAGGCTCTTTGACCAAGAAAACCCTGATATGATAATTAAAATCACTACAAGCAATATCACAATTCACGAACGTGATGCTCACATATTTTTGTACATGAGGTGGGAGATTAGTATCACAATTTGTGGCCAGCTCCGTCACTTGGTGGATTGAGGGAGATATGCAGATGGGTTCTCGAGATAAGGAAACAGCACTATTTAATGGCAAAAAACTAGTGAGACAAGACAATGGACAATGATGCGACATGGCAACCAAGAACCACTCAATAAGGTAATAAAAACCCACAAACTTTTTGACAGAGAACGGGTACGTTTACAAAACCCTCCTTTGGGAGTCAGGGAAGAGGTACCTCAGGTACCTGAAATGGGGTGACCAAAGTGTACCTTAACACTGGAAGCATGAAAGACTTTTTCAGCAAGAAAAATGTTGAAAAAATTGTAAAAAAGGTTTAAATACATCGAAATTAGTGATGTATTTAAACCTTTTTTACAATTTTTTCAACATTTCTTGCTGAAAAAGTCTTTCATGCTTCCAGTGTAAGTCAACGTCACCGTGATTCAAGTTCACACGCGTCACTCATGTGATCAAATTTCGAACCAAGGCAACCTCCTGGCTCCTGCTAAACAAACAAAATG